TTTCCAGTCATACTCAATAAACAACCACAAAAAATAATGGATTATTAAGAACTATTTGGATGAATGTGTGAAATGTTGCTCACTCACCCAGAGACACGGCCATACTGACTCACGAACACGAGGGGAATGGAAAGCGGACGCATCCAATACAGCCGATTTCTGAGTTGCCGGCCGAAATACAGGACAGAATTTCGGCCAAAAAGCAGCCAAAATCCGATTTGGTTGATATCTGCATCGGCCGATATCTGGTGTTCCACTGTATTAGTAATGCCATATAAAAATAAAGGTCTCTATATAATGAAGTACAGTATAGTAGGGCCTTACAATGTCCAGTGTTTTACATGTACAGTGGACCCCCGGTTAACGATTTTAATCCGTGCAAGAGGGCTCATCGTTATGCGAAATAATCGTTATGCGAATTAATTTTCCCCATAAGAAATAATGGAAATAAAATTAATCCGTGCAAGACGCCCAAAAGTATGAAAAAAAATTTTTTTTACCACATGAAATGTTAATTTTAATACACACAAACTGAAAAAGGCATGCACAATTACATGACACTTACTTTTATTGAAGATCTGGTGATGATTGATGGGATGGGAGGAGGGGAGAGCATTATCTTCTTACTGTTTAGAAGGGGAATCCCCTTCCATTAGGACTTGAGGTAGCAAGTCCTTTTCTGGGGTTACTTCCCTTCTTCTTTTAATGCCACTAGGACCAGCTTCAGAGTCACTGGACCTCTGTCGCACAACAAATCTGTCCATAGAGCTCTGTACCTCCCGTTTCTTCAAGACTTTCCTAAAATGGGCCATAACATTGTCATTGAAATAGTCACCAGCACGGCTTGCAACAGCTGTGTCAGGGTGATTTTCATCTATAAAGGTTTGCAGTTCAAACCACTCTGCACACATTTCCTTAATCTTTGAAGTAGGCACAATGGATTCCACAACTGGCATAGGCTTCTCAGGGTTAGCCCCAAACCCTTCAAAATCTTTCTTAATTTCCATACTAATTCTCACCCTTTTTACCACAGGGTTGGCACTAGAAGCTTTCTTGGGGCCCATGGTCACTTATTTTCCAGAAACACCACCGAAAACACTGTAATAATACGAAATATTCCGAGTGTATGCTTGGATGTTACCGCGGAGGCTGGCTGGTAAACAATGGGACGGCCGGCACATGTGAGGGCACATTGGACGCGTCTCGGACGAAAATCGGTATGCGGGTTTTTAATCGGTATGCGGGGCAAAAATTTTGCGATAAAAGTAATCGTTATGCGGAAAAATCGCTATGCGATGCCATCGTTATGCGGGGGTCCACTTAATTACAGGGATACTGTACTAACGAGTGACTCTTCCAAGCACTGGATATAGGCAAGTATGTACAAATAGGAAGCACATCTGTCTCGCACTCAGCAGACAAGGGATTGAGCCTCCACCACGTCTGTGTTGAATAACCCATGTGGGTTTATCACTTTAATTATAGTCTTTCCACAGTGGGATGGCTGCCATATATTTACAATTTTATTTTCTTAAGGATAAATTATAAAATTTTTTTTTCTCTTAGTCTTTTACCAAATGCATTTATATTTTATGTATGTATAGAGCTCTCATTTGTTTGGTAGAGGTTGCTCAAGAACAATTAATTTAATATTTATAGGTACTTTCTTATTAACCTTTTAGCTGTGCCCAATATACCGGTATGCAAGTGATGACAATGTGTCTGACATACTAGTATTTGCAGTCACCACCATTTTAGGTCTCAAGCTACCTCATGCTTCTTAGGAAAAACATGCAGGCCATGTGGGTATGTGCTGGGCATTGTGGGTAATATCACTCAGTAAACATAGGCTCACAATGGCTGGCTGATACACCAACCTTTCTCGGTGAAATCTAGAAAATACTGTTCAGTCCAGTCACCGCTGACATTGAGGGTGATAATGGAGGATAATTTTCTAGTTTCAAAAGGGACAGCAATGATGGTATGACCAAGAATGAGAGAAGTGCCAGTTCAGCCCAAGATGTAGCAGTACCATTCACCTTTGGGCTTGCCACACAACAAAGTAGATGCTGATGGCTCTTTACCCCTGAATTGGATAGTGATTGGAGTGATGTGGGTGATGGTACAAGTCTTTCACTCTCTGATTTCCTTAAGGTGAACAGTATAGACATGTGCAGGACAGTGAGAGGAAATAGAGAACATATGTTGTCATTCATGACAACATATGTTTGAGGAGATTATGGTAATGAATATGGTATTGTGTATATGGACTTCACTAAGGTTGTTGATATAGTTCCTCATCAGAGGCTATTGAGGAAAATTAAGGCACACAGAATAGGAATTTTTTTTTCTAGGTTGACAGATAGGCAGCAGAGAGTTTGCATCATTGGGGAGAAATCAGCGGGGGTGCATCACAAGTGGTGTTCCACAGGGGTCAGTGTTGGGCTCTTTGTTGTTCACAATTTATATAAATGACGTTGATGAGGGAATAAATAGCGAAATAAGCAAGTTTGTTGATGACACCAAAATAGGTCGCCTAATTCATTCTAATGAGGACATAAGAGCACTCCAGGAAGATTTGAATACACTGATGCAGTGGTCGGAGAAGTGGCAGATGCAGTTTAATATAGACAAATGCAAAGTTCTGAACATTGGAGAAGAAAATAACCATGCCAAATATAAACTAAATAATGTAGATCTTTATATTACTGATTGCTAAAAGGATTTGGGAGTTCTGGTTAGTGGTAATCTAAAACCAAGACAACATAGCATAAGTGTTCGCAATAAAGCAAACAGAATCCTTGGCTTCATATCAAAGAGCATAAATAATATGAGTCCTCAAGTTGTTCTTCAACTCTATATATCTTTGGTTAGGCCTCATTTAGATTATGCCGCACAGTTCTGGTCATCGTATTACAGAATGGATATAAATTCACTGGAAAACATACAAAGGAGGATGACAAAGTTGATCCCATGTATCAGAAATCTTCCCTATGAGGAAACTGAGGGCCCTGAATCTGCACTCTCTAGAAAGGTATAGAATTATGGGGGATATGATTGAGGTGTATAAATGGAAAACAGGAATAAATAAAGGGAATGTAAATAGTGTGCTAAAAATATCTAGCCAAGACAGGACTCCCAGCAGTGGTTTTAAGTTGGAAAAAATTGAGATTCAGGAAGGATATAGGAAAGCACTGGTTTGGTAATTGAGCTGTGGATGAGTGGAACGAACTCCTGAGTACCATCATAGAAGTTAAGACGTGTAGTTTTAAAAATAGGTTGGATAAATACATAAGTAGGTGTGGGTGGGTGTGAGTTTGACCCAATTAGCTTGTGCTGATAGGTCTGATGCCGTGCTCCTTCCTTGAGTGGATGTGACCTGACCTGACCTGACTAGGTGGGTCATTGGTTTAAGCTGGGAGGTAACTTGGACCTGCCTTGCATGGGTCAGTAGGCCTGCTGCAGTGTTCCTTCTTTCTTATGTTCTTATGAAATCCATGGATACCATTGAAGTGTAGGTATTTCATACCAGTGACATGATGGCATGACAGAAGAGATATGAGTGTTGATGACCTTACACAAACAATAAAAGAAATTGGAAGGTGGAAAGGTTGAGCAGCAAACACTCATAGTTGTTGACTACAATACCAATATGCATTTGGTAGACAAATTAGACATGCAAATTGGGTCTGTGGAATGTGTCAGAAGGAGCTGTAAGTATTATATGAAATAGTTTTTCTTATGGTTGGATATTGCAGTGCAAAATGCACACAATATGTTCCAGGTGAAAACAGGATGCAAACCCAACTTGTACAATTTCTATTTATGTATCAAAAGATGGACAATAAATAAAGTATTTCTTGTTAAGCCCTAAAACCCTGTGGGTCATTCAGCACAAGACGTGATGGAGGCTTGATTCTCCGTCTCTTGTGCATTAAACAGGTGTGCTTCCTATTTGTTCTCTTCTAGATGTCATAAGACAGATAATAGAAAAATACTGGGTGAAGGCCCAGCCTGGGTGTGGCAGTGAAAGTGACCCATTTTGGCTGTAGCATGGTGTACACTCTCCTGATACTATACCATTACAGAGAAGAAGGCACAGACATTATGTTATATATATCATCACACAAGCAGAAAGCCAAGTAAGTGAACATATATACAATATTTCTAGGTTGTATGATATTCCAATGTGTCTCCACCTATGTTCTGAGGAATATCGTACTCTTTGAAACAGTTCTAATATGAGAATAAAAATATGTATAGTTGCAGGACAGAAACTATCATTAGATATAAGATAAGCCATGTTTTTGTTCTGATTTATAGCAAATATTGGTAAGTGTTCTTCTAGTGCAGTATGTTTTATGACCTTTTGACAACATTATTTTTGCTTAAAATCGGGATATTTTCTTTGCAAAATGTGGTATAGTACTAACCAGTGCATACAAAAAAATTGAAAATCACATTTTATTGGGCTTAGAATAACCAAAAACCAGTGTTGCTAATGTACATCAGTTTCAGCCAACTTCAGTACACTATAAAACAGTAAGTTTTTATCAGATTCCACTCATTTTAGTCTTAGTCACTTCAGAAAAATGTACAGTTAAGGGGTTAAGGATGAATTATTAATGTTATTTTTTTGTCTTGGTAATTTTGTACCAAGTGCATTCAAATATTGTTTATGATTAATTAATGCATGTATTAAAAGCTTACTCTTTTTGGTGGAGATTGGTCAAGAGCTGTAAATTTATTATGTACTTTCTTTTACTACACGAGTGGTTGGCAGGCAGGGAATGACATTAAGGCAGTGGTTAAGGCAGGAAAGTAGGTGGGTTATTAAGGATCTCAGGAGGAAGACCTTGGCTCCATATTGGTGGCTGAGAGGAGAAGCCTGGGAATTGTTGGTATGCTATTTGTATGATTACTGTCTTTTTATTTTATGTCACATTTTTGTCTTGCTCATATAATACAGTAAGAAAATATTCTCCTCTTCTGTATTTTAGGAATTGCTGAGTTAACACGGTTGATGGCAAATCTGGGTGTCTCCATCAAGGATATGGTACATGAAAGAGCGTGGATCAGGAGTGACATCTTCAGTGTAGAGGTAAGGCATCAATATGTATGCAAGCTATCATGTGACAAATATACTTGAAATTATTTAAATTATATTGCCTTTCCAAATCTTTATTATGTTATAGCACATCATTCATTATTGGTGCTGGTGCTGCTGCTTTATTATTTAAATAATTGCTTGAACCAAACCTGTCCATTTTTTTTTAACACAGTGGCCATTTTCCAGCAAGGCAGGGTGACCCAAAAAAGAAATACTTTCACCATCATTCACACTATCACTGTTTTGTCAGAGGTGTGCAGATGTGACAGTTCAGGTGTCCTTCCAAACAACAAATATCTCTAACCCCCTTCTTTAGAGTGCAGGCACTGTATGTAGACAGTAAGCCTACCGCTACTTCTCATAGTCCCCCCTTGGAACGAATTGTTGTGGGCCTAGTTCCCCTGAATGCCCACCACAGGGCACTGCCTCAAGTTAGACATACGCAGCCATGCCTTGCTCTCCTAGACTTGTGGCCTTCCAGTTAACAAGCTCCCCTCACAGACTGGGTTTGGCACACTTCACACTGCACGCTGTGAACCCCATTCTTCAATAAACATGAAGCTAGTCAACGGCTGTATATCTCGCCTACCTCTATGCTACCCGGCAAGTTATTAAAAAAACCCAAAAGGCAATTAAAACATGTACTTCTCACCTTCAGGACTCAAGTCTGGGAGAAATGGGCTAGTAACCCCGTCCATATTATAAGGTGTCCCATAGCTCAATTGCTAGCTCACTCAGCTCACACAATGAGATCCATAGTTTGCTCCCCAGTATGGATGGACATGTTTCCTTAAGGCACTTGCTGTCCATGTTCACCTATCAGTACAATAGGTACCTGGATGTTAGTCGACTGGTGTGGGGTTCCATCTTGGGGACACAGTTAACCTAATTTACCTGAAATGCTCTGCATAACAAGGGGCTTTATATATAGTAATATGTCATTGATGTCAGCTAGGCCTGTATACAGTGTACTTTTTTTTTTTTAACATGCCAACAGTCTCCCACCAAGGCAGGGTGGCTCAAAAATTACTTTCACCATCATTCACACATAACTACTGTCTTTGCAGATATGACATTTCAAATGTACATGTAGAAATAGATTATTATTATTATTATAAAATTGGGAACAAATACCTCTTCAAGGGTCTCGCATTTAATGCATACAGTAATTTTTTTAATTGCCTTCAGTTTAGTGCTTCAACTGTGATACTCTCCTCACCCTTTCTTTCTGCCAGTGTCCTTCCCTCAATGCCACTTTTTCTTCTGTAACATCTTTTTCACCTCTTCCATGTATCTCTGTATGACTGTTATCAGGTTAACACTTTCCAGTAATATCATACAAAAGGCAGGCAGGACTGGTGACTAGCAGGTAGTTACATATATTATGAGACAGGTGACTAGCAGGTAGTTACATATATTATGAGACAGGTGACTAGCAACTGTTACAGCCACTAGAATTTGTAAATTATTATATTCATGTGAGAGAGTCAAAGAAAGTGTTCATACATCAATTAGGGGAATAGAGGAACTTCCTGCGAGTGGCTATAACACATAGATTAAACACTGAAAATGGGAAAGGATAACCATTGTTCTGCTTCTTTAGCTATATGTAATAGGTCATTTTTGTGATTATCAGTACAGGCATACCTTGTAATAGGGTACGTTAGGTTCCAGACCACCTTCGTGAGGCAAATACAGTGGAACCTTGACTTACGAGTTTAATCTGTTCCGTGACCTAGCTCATAACTCAATTTACTCGTATATCAAATCAATTTTCCTCATTTAAATTAACTGAAAAGCCATTAATTCATTCCTGCACTCTGGAGACAAGACAGAATACTTGAATATGATGCTAGTATCAACTGTATGGCTTATTTATCTTTCACAATTCATCTAATATGACATAATAAATAATATAATTAACACAGAAATGTGATATATACTCTAGAATAAATAAAATAGGCCATAATATGGTGGCAGAGGCAGCGGCGGAAGTGTCCACCATTTCCTGTCCAACTTTGACTATAGTATCTTCCCATGCTCTTATTGTAAGAGAAAACAGAGTATTTGTGAGGTTAATTGCAGAAATATCGTATATAAAAACATAAATCATAATACACTACAGAATGTAAAGAAATATTAAGCTGTTTATATAAAGTGTACAGTATGTATTTACACACTTGGGGGAAGTTGAGGGTGTGGCATATGATGTCAGTGGCCCTGTAAACCTCCAACAACAATATTGTTTTGTTTAATCGCTGAACTTAACTGATACAATTTGTTTTGTTTAATCACTGAACTTGACTGATACAGCTTTAGTATCTACATATCGTAGATGTACTAAGCTGGTAGTGTGTGGCTAAGTTCATGGAAATCATCCTCTTTTTCTTCTCAGCACTGTCCTTTGCACTTATTTTCTTAGGACCCATGTTTAGTAAAAAGAAATTTGGCCAAATGACTATAAAAAAATGCAAGCAAGCATGAGAGAACTGCCCCCACAGTGGTGTAAACACGAGTACTGCTTACCAGAGGTTTTGGCATCAGCTGTGCCAACTAGCTGCAGCATTCTGAATTATTATTAAATATGTATTATGTATTATTATTATTATTAATTTAGGGAAATGAAGCTCTACCATTATTATAATAATAATAATTATTATTATTACTATTATTATTATTTTAGGGAACTGAAGCTCTATCGTTATTACAGTGGAACCTCCGTTTTCGTTGATCTCTGTTATCACCGATTTCGGTTTTGGCTAACTTTTTTCAGCGATTTTTTGGTTCTGCTTTCATCGATTACCTCCATTTTTGTCGATCATACGGAACCTGTCCAGTGCCCAGCACGCAGACAAAGCCACCTCCCACATGCATTCTCAGCCAGTGTAGTGTTGTTTCTTGGTAAGTGAACATATCCTGCCAGGTCATATGAAATATTTTATAATAATCCATTGTTTTTGCCACTTGTTTATTGTGTGTGACTGCTAAATAAGCCACCATGGGCCCAGAGAAAGCTTCTAGCACCAGCCCTTTGGTAAAGAATGTGAGAAACACAATATAATTCAAGAAAAAGTTTGTAGAAAAATATGAAAGTGGTGGTGGTAGAGGGTAGTAGTGATGGTGATAGAGGGTAGTAGTGATGGTGGTAAAGGGTGGTAGTGATGGTATATTAGAGGATTGTAGTTGTGATGGTGGTAGAGGGTGGTAGTGATTGTGGTAGTGGTTGTGATGATGGTAGAGGGTGCCTTCTTCAGTGATTCAGCAATTCTACTAATTCCACCAATGTTGTTGGAGTTATATAGGGCTACAGAAAACACCGCTGCCCCAGCTGCAGCCTTCTCTCTTTCTTTGTTGGGTTTATCAGGGCCACTGACAGCATAAGCCGTATCAAGCCCAGTTTCTCGATGGTATGAGAAAAAAAAATTTTGCCCAAGGCTGGGCAATGAGAGAAAAGGAACAAAAGTTCCTTTGTAAATAGAGATAAAAACTTGAAGTTTCCAATTAGATCCAGTGGACCCCTTTGCCAAGCCCCAGCAGAGAGGGATGCTCACACTCCCACCTGAGTTCAGTAACTGGCTTCCCACCAAAGACCGTTAAAGAATTTCCCACAGAGTGGAAAAAATGGAGCTGGCTAAAGTAAGCCGATGAACAGGTGCCCCTCCTGTAGAGTGCCTGGTGGGCAAAATAGATGAGGACAAGCGTCCCAGTGAGAACGGGGGAAATTTGTCACTGATACTCAGGTGAGAGAGAGACGTTCACACCCGACGAAGGCTGGCGCAGAAGAACTGCAGCCTTCACCAACATTATGTACGGCTTATGCTCATAGTGGCCCTTATACACCCAACAACAACAACAACAACACAACACTTGTTGTTACATACATAATGACTTATTTTATTCATTCTAGAGTATATGTCATGTTTCTGTGTTATTAATATTGTTTATTATGTTACATAAGTTGAATTGCGATAGATAAATAAGCTGTAGAGTTGACATTAGTGTCATATTCTCCAAAAATAAAGTCATCTCCTTCTCCCCTATGCCCGGTCTGCCATACACCAACAAGTCTTCCATAAAGGTAAGTGTGATGTTAAATGTTCATTTATACATTTTATTAGTGCTTTATATTTATTTGTCCCTAGCTAGTAGGTTGGTAAACAGCAACCGCCCAGGGAGGTACTACCGTCCTGCCAAGTGAGTGTACAATGAAAACCTGTAATTGTTTTACATGATGGTAGGATTGCTGGTGTCTTTTGTCTGTCTCATAAACATGCAAGATTTCAGGTATGTCTTGCTACTTCTACTTGCACTTAGGTCACACTGCACATACATGTACAAGCATATATATACACACCCCTCTGGGTATTCTTCTATTTTCTTTCTAGTTCTTGTTCTTGTTTATTTCCTCTTATCTCCATGGGGAAGTGGAACAGAATTCTTCCTCCGTAAGCCATGCGTGTTGTAAGAGGCGACTAAAATGCCTGGAGCAAGGGGCTAGTAACCCCTTCTCCCGTATAAATTACTAAATTTAAAAGAGAAACTTCCGTATTTCTTTTTGGGCCACCCTGCCTTGGTGGGATACGGCCGGTGTGTTGAAAGAAAGAAGATTTATTTGTCATTCTTTTCTGCATGTAAATCTATATTTAAGCTAGGGAAGTGACCCTTGATAAGGACTAGGTACCTAGAGGCCTTATGGAGGGGGATTCCCCTTCCAAACAATAACCTCTCTTCCCTCTCCCTTCCTCCCTGTCTTCCATCCATCAACAACAGCCTTCAGTAAAGGTAAGTGTCATGTGTAATGTTCATTCTTTTGTGCATGTAAATCTATCTTTAAGGTAAAAAAAAAATTTTGTTGATACTTCTGGGTGTCTGGAATGGATTAATTGGATTTACATAATTTCTTATGGGGAAAATGGTTTCGATTTTGGCTGATGGCTCTGGAATGGATTAACCCTTTCAGGGTTTCTGACGTACTACTACGGCTTACGCAC